CGCGCAGAGCGCGCCAGGGGAGGCGCCAGAGGCGCCGCCAGGGGGGCCAAGGCGCAGATCCGAGAAATTCGCGCGGAGCTCAGAGATTTTAATCGGTGCTTACGCAGCTGTTTCTTCCACGAACTTTGGAGACGAAACGAATTCGAGGAACTCGGGTTGGCCTCGCAGGGCCAGTATGAAAATGACGAAACCCAATCTGAAATTTGACACGATCTCCCGCTGCAGACATCCCGCGAAAAATGGAGTGCAAATCCAAGACGCGCTCGTCAAAAAAGGTCAAAAAGCGTCGGCAAACCCGAGCTTCGGCATACCTGAGTCTTACGTTCCCCCGACACGTGGCGCTCCCGACCTGAAGCGCCCCCTGAAGCGCCACCGGCGGCCGCCAGCAGCCCGAGGCAGAGCTCCTCGGACCTCCGGCGCACGTCGCCTCGGCCACACGCAGGAGTGACCCCGGGCAAGAGTGACCCTTAAGTGCGAGGCTTGCGTTCGCCCCCCGCGCCTGCACGGCGCGCTCGTACCGTGACGACCCCAGCGCTGGTCTCTGGCACCGCGTGGATCGCTCAGCATGGAGCGATCGGCGGCCTTTCGGTCGCCAGGTCGCCGCATGTTGGCCGATTCCGGGCCTCTCGCGGCGTTCAGCTCGGTGGTTCAAGCATGGGGTCCTGAGGGATGGGGTCCTAGGGGCGAGGAGCCTGAATCCCTGCTCGGGGATGGACAGACCCCCCTTTAGCAAAACGTGGTTTAGTGAAAACGACCTCGGGCCCAAACCTGGCGGGCGCAAGCCTGGAAAAGAACGGCCGCGGCGCCCTCTCGAGAACCGAAAACGGACAATTCACTAATCGACGTGCCACTGTCAGGGGTTCTGCCCACCCCCGACCTGCCTATCCTTAGGACCCCATCCCTCAGGACCCCCTCTTTGAACCACCGATCGACCTGGAACGCCCGCGGCGGGATCGCCGCCGCGTCGTCCTAGGGGCGAGGAGCCTGAATCCCTGCCTATTCTTAGGACCCCATCCCTCAGGACCCCATCTTTGAACCACCGATCACTGGGTATCGCTTGGACGTCCACTCCCTGTGCTTTTTTCGGTTTCGTGCGTGGTTTTTTCTCCAAATGATCAAGGATGCTCCTCGATGGCCCTCGCCGAAGGAAAAATGCACACGTCCGAGCGACGCCAAGATCGACCTGGAACGCCCGCAGCGGGATCGCCGCCGCAGCGGCACGACACGAGAGCCTGTCGTGGCCTTACGACCCGCCGCGCGCGGTGCGGCGGCTGCGGCCTGCGTGCTCGGGCCTAGCCCCGCGGCGCCCACCGGAAGCCGCGCACCGAAAGGCACTCCGGCGGAGGGCCCCTCTGTGAGGAGCAACGATAGGGGGGGGCCTTGACCTAAGGAGCCCAAAATAAGGAACGAGGCCCCTTTTTTCAATAAGTTAAGCTTCGATTTCCGATCGACAACATAGGGAAAACCTGAGGCAAGCTGCGAAACACATAAGGAACGCGGAGCCCCAGATACACACAAATAAAATGGATTTTCCTATATTTTCTGGGTTTCCGTCGTCCCCCCCACTTCCCATGGTTTCCCATATTTTCCTGGGAGTCGACGATTAATTGTGTCTGTGTATTTCTTTCCCTCCTGACAGAAGGCATTCCGGCGGAGGGCCCCTCTGTGAGGAGCAACGATAGGGGGGGGGCCTTGACCTAAGGAGCCCAAACTAAGGAACGGGGCTCCTTTTTTCCATAAGTTAAACTTCGATTTCGGATCGAAAACATAGGGAAAACCTGAGGCAAGCTGCGAAACACATGAGGAACGCGGAGCCCCTCCCCAACGAGAAGGGCTCCTTCTTCAGGGCCCCGACTGTAGGGGGGGGGGCAGCTCAGGGGGGAGACATCGATCTGGAATCGGCGGCGCCTCGCCGATAGATCGGCGCTGGGCCGCCGATGGCGACTCCGCACGTTTCTGGGCGGGGTGGGGCTGTCAGACACCTATCGGCGATCAGTGGGCGATTGGGGGTCGATGCATCCCCCCCTGAGCCTATCCCCGTCCCTGGTGGATTTCGCTCGTAACTTGGCTCTCTGGCACTCGTTCGGGACGATCCGGGGCCCCCCAGAGCGCTATCGGCGAGGCGCAGCCGCTGGAAGGCACCCCGAGACTGGGAAAGCCACCCAGACCCGACGAACACGCTCGAAAACCTCACACTTCGAACCCGAAGCGTTACCCCCCCCGCTGAGCCATCCCCCCCCCATCGTTACCCCTGGCTCTTGCAGGCAGCCGCTCGCCATAGCTCAGCGCGACGCGGGCCGGCCCGCGGCACACGGCGGCCGTCCGCCCTGGCGCGAGCCGCGCGCGCAGGTCATACAGCCCGTGCAGCGTGCCCGGCTGCTGCTCGGCGGCGAGCGAGGGGGGGGCGTGAGGAGGAGGCCCTCTCAAATAGGGGAACGAACAATGACATAAACAGAAAAACTCCGAGGTCCGCGCGGATTTCTCGGATCGGCGCTCGACCCCCCTCTCTGGCGCGCGGAGCGCGCCAGGGGCGGCGTTGGAGGCGCCGCCAAGGGGCCCCAGCGCCGCTCCGAGAAACCCGCTCGGAGCTCCGAGTTTTTATGTTTATGTCATTCTTCGTTCCCCTATCAAAGGCGGCGGGGCTTCGCAGAAGCCCTCTGGCCTTCTGCGAAGGCCTTCTCCGGGGGTCTACCGACCCAGGTTCATCCAGACCCGGGTCAGTCAGGCCTTGCAATATCCTGCGAGATTCTGCAGGGCCATGCAGGAGCCTGCACCCAAACCCGGGTCGGTGCGCCCCTGGCTCTGCCGGATCCTGCAGGATCCGGCGCTCTGGCTGACCCCTGTTTGCACTGACCCCCGTCTCTTCAGCCCCGCCTTTCCTCCTCCTCCTCCTCCTCCTCCTCCTCCTCCTCCTCCTCCTCCTCCCTTCTCGTCGCTTCCCCCCGGTTCGCCGCCGAACTGAGGCGGCGCCGCCGCCATCGCGCCGCCGCGCTCCCGGGCGGGCGTTATCGCGCGCAGGGCGCCGCGGGGCCGCGGGGCGCCCTGGCGCGCGGGAGGAGGCAGGGAAAGGAGGGGAAGGGAGAGGGGGCGAGGCAGGGGCAAGGGCGCCTAACTTCGCGCTCTCGCGCTGCGTAACGAGCGAATCACTTCGCGCTCTCGCGCCGCCCCCCAGGGGAGAAGAGGAGGATGAGGAAGAGTCGGAGCCGAATCGCGAAGCGCGAATAACTTCGCGCCCTCCAGGGCGCCGTTGGAGAGAGGGAGGGTATCTGACCATCCAGATATTCACATGTTTGTTCGTAATGTTCTGGCATCGCTGGATATTTCAACATCGTCAGATAGGATAACCAAATTTCGCTTGAGACTCTGTCTGAACTTTTTGAATACATCGTTTAGCTGATTTGATATTATGAGGGAGTCTCAAGCGAAACTGCGTTGATAGTTGTAAAAATGTACGAGCAATGAAACACATATTTCGCTTGGTACTCCCTCGGAGTATCACATCCGCCAGACCCCATAGATTTCAATAATTCTGAAGGAATCTCAAGCGAAAGCTGGTTTTCCAAAATAAAAGCTTAATCTCTGGTTGGGGAAAAACCGGAAACCTCTGGCAGGTCCAGGCCGCTCAACACGGTTCTATATAATTACCGTTCGGCTGATGAATTCCTTTTGTGGCGGATGTACCCGTTGATTCCTTCTGTGTCGGATTTACAAGTTGATTCCCTGTGTGGCAGATTTGCACATTGATTCCTTTTGCGGCGGATTTGAACATTTATTTTCTTCGAGGCTGATTTACACAATAAATCCTCTTGTGGCGGATTCGTTGTACGGCGACGAAACGTTTACGATGGCGTCGACGACCAGAAGAGGCCCGCCCACATCTTGAACTTCTTCCCTCTGAGGGGACTCCCAGAAGAGTCCGTTCTCGATTTGGGGGGTTCTGCTTTGAGCTGCTGTCTTGGAGGGTTCCGTGGTATCTGGGCAAGCGGCGGTCCTTTCATAGCTGGTCTGGGGGGGGTCTGAAACTACTCGTCTGAGAGGGCTGTGACCCCCTTTGATTTATTACGAAATGTGGAGTGCCCAATTTGCTTGCGCGCTAAAGCAAACGCGTACGCACCAGACCAATCGCTTCGATTCATGCACCCACTCCTCTCTGACAGTGCTCCTCCGTACCTCCCGTTCTGGGCCACTATACGTGCTGGCTTGCCATCAGACTGCCTGCATAAGCAAGCGCGGTGGTTGGCAGAAACAGCGATGCGCAAGTGTCCTTGACATGCATCGGGAAGTGACCAGGATGCAGAACCCCCGTTACCACTTGCTTCCAAAATAAGACTACTTGCTTTCATCAACCTCTTGCTCCTAGCCGTAGCCTTTCTACCAGTTGGACAATAATCCACCACCGTGCCGCAGGCACTGGGTTGGGTGACCTCCGGTCCTTTCAAGGTCTCTGTATTGAGTCTTGTACATGCTCTTTACGAGCCAGGGAACCCACTGTTACTGGCGTTCTTGCCCGTTCCTGGGAATCCCACGTGGAATCCTGGTATGACTTTCCCCGAGGTTCGCAATCATTGAAAAACAAAATAATTTGGAAAATTCTCGGCCCTGGAGGGTGAAGCCAACGAGCCGGCAAGCTGGCCCCCGAGAGTGCCAACGGGCTTCCAGGAGATCCCCAAGAGGCTCCAAAGAGGGCCCCAAGAGGCCTCCCAAGGCCTCCAGGAGACCCCAAGAGGCATCCAGGAGGTCTCTGACATACAACCCAGACGGGGGCGGGATGAACCGAAGGCCACCAAACAAGTGGCACGCGTGCCCTGGCTCTTGCACGAAGGAGCTGCGAGGGACAGGAGGCTTTCGTCTCCTTCCTCCAGGAGTTTCCTTCTGTGGCTGGGGGGGGAGGGGGGAGGACGAACGACGAACGAACGACGAAGACGACAAAAATAAAGAGGTCGGAGATCTAGAACACAGATATTCAAGAGAATAATGGCACATGTCACAACATCCGTTTT